TTTATTTAAACAATAAGAAAATAAATATAAACAAAAATATAAGCCGTTTCTCCGAAAATTCGTTTCTTTTTAGCAAATATGATAACTTGTATGTTTTAATCTTTTATTATACAGTTAGTAAATACGTCATAATTTCTTTACTACATTTATTATAAAATATATTTTATAATAATTAAACTGCTAATTTTGATTTTTTAAGTAAGAATTATTATATTTTTTTCATAACTTATTAAACAATTTTTATGAAAAGACGTAACTTGTGTTTAAAAACTTTCTATTATTATATTACAGATTTCGAGTTATAAAATAAAATGGAAAAATAGCCAAATTTTCAGTGGTTAACTGTAACTCCTTGAAGTGAACTTGTTTCATATATAATTTGTTATTAAGCACTACAAGGCCCAAACTAATGCCATATGTTACTTCAAAGGTTCAAGACCACAATACAATACAAATCAGCAAGAAATCAGTGATGTATACAATTACCTCGCAGTTTCATTACAAACAAAAATCCGCTTTGCGATTCGAGATTTTATTTGACAATTGACTTCTTTGCTTCGGAAGTTGAATATCCGTAATTAAAAGCATAAAGACAAAGCCTGCCCTCCAGGAAGAATAATCCCGTCTGCGAAACGTGTACCAACAACCTGTTTGAGGTGGGATAAGGTAAACACATGGCGCGTGGTCCGCAGCCGGTGTGTATCTCGTCGATTTAATCTTCGCGCAGCGGTTTCTTTCTTCATTCAATCCCATTTTTTATTAGCCGTTTTACCAACTGCACATCACAAACGCGTCCGAATTATATTCGCCGCGGAACGCATACATACATATTGTATAATGAACTGACTCGGTACAAGTGCAGTCACGATACAATACATCTTCGGCAAAAACTAATCTCAGGCTTGAGTAAAATAAAAGTGAGAAATTGAAAAAACGAATACTTTCAATTAATTTAAGAATATTATTTTAGAAACGACGGAGAAGGTAATTTTCTTGTATGAAAATTAAATAAATCATTTTCAAGTAACTTCTTATTTATATGAGATAAATAATTTGACATAGAAGGTCGTGATAAAAGTTGTTTTATTTTGGCACAGAAAGTCGTCCGTAGTGTAATAATTCACTGTTTTAATAAACGAGAACAGTCTCTCCTCTGTTCTTCCATTAAAAAGTGCATATGAAATAAATTGAATAAAAAGTCAAACAAGAAATTATTTAATTGGATTGCCAAATAATGAAATAGTCTAGGACAAATTATTTTTCACAATTATCTCAAACCAACACATCTAGACAAATCAGATTTATCAAATATATTATATATTTGAATAATGATGACATTTGATTAAATTGTCACTTTTTTCCACAAATTTCAAAGGATCTACGTCGACGTTTAATTAATTATTACGATGATACTCGAATCTTTAGCGATCATTTGCAAGCTCGATATTTATGAACACATATTCAATTTCAATAATTCAAGTTTCAATAATTCGTGCCGCTTGCTCCGTAAATGAGTCTCGCATAATAAATACGAATCATGGATCGTCGAGTGCATATAAATTTCACGAGTTATTTGTGCTGCTGACCACTCCGGCCATACATTGCCAAAACTTAACCAAAACCTCAAAGAGGTGTGATGTCATAATAAATGTCAAAATATAAAAGATGTCAAAATAAAAATAGAAAATATATACAGCAGAAAATGGATAGTATGTAGGATTATGGTGGGAGCTAAAGATTGGTGTAAGGTGTAGATTTCAATATGCTTAGAAAACAAGAGTGGTAATCATTGGAGAAATCATTAGTTTAGAAAATATTTGAATTTTGGTATCTTTTAGAGACAAGAGTAAATCTTTGCATTCAGGCTGAAGATCATATTTTTGAACGCCAACTTTAGATAAATGAGTGCTCTCTAACACTGTGCAATACTAAAATTAAAATATCTTCAAAACCAAACATTTTTCGTAATAAATGCCTTAATATTGTTATGAACAGAATGACAAGCTGAATTGACTAGTATAATAAAAAATATATGATTCCATTTAAAAAAGTAAAGTTGACCTTCATATGTTCTCGACGTGTTCACCTAAAAATATCCTATTAACATCAAATTACGTGTCCTCTAAAAACATTCAAATTTCGTTTGGAACATCTTTTACTATCATCGTCGGTTTCGAAGGTATTTGACTGGATCGATTTAAATGGGTCACCCTATATATCCTTCTTAATCAGTTGTTTCTGGCGAGTATACTCGTCAAGAAGAAATAACAACGTTTTGTGTTATGCCGGGTATTCTCGTCAAAAATAACTAACTGGTTTACAGGCTTGCTGTAGATAAAGTGTTAAGATGTTGTCCATGTTTTGGCAAAATGGGTTTACTTGGGCCGAATAACCGTTGGTTGTTTGCGGTACGAATCAATCGCGTCGCGGCGGCTAGGCTATTCTAAATAACCCCTGGAACGAAGAATGGGGAAAAAGGACGGAATTTGGTACGGTCGTTCTGGCGAGACCACGAGCCGTGTTGCCGCGTATCTTGTGAAATCCTCGGAGCCTTGAAAAACTACCGACTCGGCTAAGCGACGAGGAAAAAGAGAATTAGTGTATTGCGTGTTTTGTAACCGACCGCGCTCTACGATACAAGAACTACGCATCGATCGCACTGAGCACTGAGGCTTCTACCGTTCTTCTGCAACACAGTCGTTCAATCACACGCCAAGAGAAAAAAAACCTAGTTCGTGCATCGCACTGTACAATTTCATTTGGAATCGAGTTGATGGCCAGTTACGTCCGATAATTTGGCGAAATTTTCGCTTTTCATGAAAGTAAAAAAAGATTTCAATTGCGGCAGAGCATAGATTTTATGCATTTATGACAGAGACGAGTATGGGCATTTTGGAACTATATAAAATATAGGTATACTGATGTTGTACATATAATAAAATCGTTACTTATAAAAAAAGTATTTTCATACGTTTCCTAGTTTCTTGGAATTCTAACTAGGATAATTATTTCGTGCACTCGTGGCACAAGGCAGTGAGTAAAATTTGAAACGGCGGAAAGATTGAATGAATTCAAGGGTGTACATAATATTGTTATTTATGATACTATCAATTTATTAGATAAATAAATACAAATTTATCTGGTTTCTGTTTCTTATAATTGGTACAGAATAATAATTTCGACTCTTACATAATGAATGTACAGCGTGATCCACCTAACTTTAGTACATACATTAAATATGTTACTTCTATAGTATACTTTTATTACAAGACTAATGATTTTTAGGCGACCTTAGGTATCCAGTATAAATGGAAATATGCATAATTGAGAAATACAAAATTTGTTGTTTACCAGGGAAGTGATGGTATAGTGGGGCTCCCGGGTCGTCGCAATTCCCTTCCCTCAATTGTCCACAAGTTCTTTTTTCTGTCACTTCTACCAGAGAGTCTCGGATAGGAAAGCACTGAAATGGCGAGGATGCGTCGTGAGCAAAAAGCTGACCTAGCATCATGACGTGACGATCTAGTGCTGCTACGTATCTTCCTCTATTACTCTAACTTCAGTTTGGTGGCGGTTGCAGTTGCGAGAGAAGGGAAGGGCAAAGAGAATCCCCTCGCGCCATCGATTCCCTGGCAATACTGACCACAATACGCGTTAAAAACTTGTTGAAACTTAGTTAAGGTTTCTCCTGTCATTTTTTCGTTAACCATTTAGTAAGATATTTGAAATGCTCAGGTTAAATGAATAAACAATCAATATATGTGTATTAATATCGTATATTATCAGTACAATATTGTCAATATATTGTAAATTGACAAATTGTGCACTTTTCCATACGTTCGGTATTATCGACGATACTTCAAGATAAATAAATAAAATTTATTTACTCTTGCTATCATGGTGAATTGCACCGTCCATATGTATACGTAGAATATGGAATGCAAATATTTTTCATTAAATTCTCATCAACATTCGAAATATTGAGTATATATAAATGCTAATTATATCTTTCTTTTAAAATTGCTGTAGTTACGAAAACACTTCCACATGAAATAATTGAACATATTTCTTAATTCATGCATTCTCATTTATTCTTATAAAGCAATACATGCTATCTGGTGCTCGATATGTTTAGTGTTGAACTTTGTACTTCAAAACTACAATTGTTTGTGTGCCAACGTAGTACATATTATCGCGAAGTATAAATTAGCAGTTTTAATGTGTATCCTTGGAGTGAATATGCTCTACCCGGTATAAGCGCCGCAGAGTTTCACCATTCTCGATTTTCGCTTTCCTCAACAGGTCGACTGTTTCACCAGCGCAGCGATTTTGGAATATCGGCATGTCGAGCGATCTGGGAGACGACAGTGGTGCTTCATTAAGTGATTGTCTTATTGACATGTCATCGTCGCAGCACGAATCCGCTATCAGGAATGCTTGTCTATCTACCACAAATGTAAGTAACTATTCGTAAAACATCCAACATGTTAAAACCGCCATAGTGTGCCGAGTCGTAAAGGCTAGTTGGACAAAACTGCAACTTTACGTTTTTCAACGTTAAATTTTATTCGAAAGAAGTAACGTAATACCTTTTCACGTTGACGTTATTCGTTCGAACAAAAGGATTATAAATTATAAATTATTAATCTCCTCTTCTCTGTTTAAAAGTGCCAGCCATTATTGCTAAACTGACTCTACTTTAGTTTTTTTTATCAATCTCATAATTTTATATACAATCAAGCTAATTAAAATTGGGAATCTCCATTAGAGGCTTTCTGAAAAAAGCTTTTTGGTAAATACAATTACGTGTGGGAAAGGCAGCTCGAATGACCTTGTTATATTTTGTCAAGACTATTCTGAATAACTTTACCCTATAGATGCTACAGTTGCTCAGCCTTCGTTTTCAAGATACTTACAAAAATAGTTTCATATCTATACAATAATTATGAAATGCAAGTATTGCATTTGCAATGGTAATTATGAAATGCAAGTATTGCATTTACAATGGTAATTATGAAATGCAAGTATTGCATTTGCAATGGTAATTATGAAATGCAGGTATTGTATAGAATGCCTGGCGTAAAAACGTCTAAAAAGACGAAGTGTGAAACATCCATTATTTTTATATTAATTATATTTTCCCTAGGCATTGTCTCTGATAGGTCTTTATTAACCCTTTCGCTACGGGCGGATTTTCCGCCGCGGTACTTCTGCTGTTAGTTAAACAAAATTGAAAAAAATAAGGCATATCTATTTATCCGTTGTTGAGAGAAAAATAAGGTGAATTAGCTTTCTGCAGTAAGCACTGACTTTATTCGCTACAAACGATAGTGACCTGTAGTACCTGGGTGGCATCTTATGGAAGGCCACTATAGTGGCCCTTAGTACCTGGGTGGCATCTTATGGAAGGCCACTATAGTGGCCCTTAGTACCTCGATGGCATCTTATGGAAGGCCACTATAGTGGCTCTTAGTATCTCGATGGCATCTTATGGAGGGCCACTATAGTGGCTCGTAGTATCGAAAGGGTTAAAATAGGTTAGGCAATTATTAAAATAATTCTTGGATATTTCATATTTCGTTTAAAAATGCAAGTCATTCTATACAATGCCCGCATTTCATACATTGCTAGTAACATATACAATGCGATAACTTAATAGTAAAATAATTTTCGCATAATTCAGACTTTACCTAAAAACGTCAGGCGTTTTCGTCTTAGCTGGACTTATTTATGTCTGATGTAAAAAATATGGCAGTGTAAGGAGGAAGACATTCGAGTTCTTTATAAATTTCTATTATGTCTCATTAAATAAGTGCCACCAAAGCATTTGAAGATAGATTTTTCTTGTTGATGTAATTTATGTATAAATGGAGTTTTAAATTAGAGATACACGAAATACATATTGAAAAACTGTGGAAGGTAAAAAATATGTCTTCAGATTCACATTCGCTATACAAATTTTTTTAGAAGAAAATGAACGATCGAATATACGAAAGTTTCCAGGCTTCAAAACGAGTCGAGGTTTATCGTTTATAATAGCTTTTTAGGGAATTATAACAGTTTAAATATCGATAGTCTTTCGGTTATCGGAAATTTATTGTGCAAATACTTTAGAATAACTATACTTCTACTCAATCTCAATAATACTCAATAAGCATACTTATATGCTGAATATGATGCTATTTGATACAATAATTTTAGTTTCTGTGACCGACGAAAAGTAGAACTGAGGCGTACGCGTCGGCGCTGTAGAATTCTTGATTTATAGTGAACATATTCATACCTGGCACTTGAGACGTCGTTTAGTACAGTACTTGTCAAATTAGGAGAAACCGCTCGCTTAAGGGCGCTGGGATAATCTGAGGGGCGGTGGTAGCTCTGGGTATAATTGGAGTGTGTGATAAATATGATATTACTGCGTATGGGATTTTTTGAAAATTCGTATTTTCGAATTACTAGGCAGTTTTGTAGTCTTGTACAACTCGATTTTGAAGATCTTGTAATTTATTTNAACAAAATTGAAAAAAATAAGGCATATCTATTTATCCGTTGTTGAGAGAAAAATAAGGTGAATTAGCTTTCTGCAGTAAGCACTGACTTTATTCGCTACAAACGATAGTGGCCTGTAGTACCTGGGTGGCATCTTATGGAAGGCCACTATAGTGGCCCTTAGTACCTGGGTGGCATCTTATGGAAGGCCACTATAGTGGCCCTTAGTACCTCGATGGCATCTTATGGAAGGCCACTATAGTGGCTCTTAGTATCTCGATGGCATCTTATGGAGGGCCACTATAGTGGCTCGTAGTATCGAAAGGGTTAAAATAGGTTAGGCAATTATTAAAATAATTCTTGGATATTTCATATTTCGTTTAAAAATGCAAGTCATTCTATACAATGCCCGCATTTCATACATTGCTAGTAACATATACAATGCGATAACTTAATAGTAAAATAATTTTCGCATAATTCAGACTTTACCTAAAAACGTCAGGCGTTTTCGTCTTAGCTGGACTTATTTATGTCTGATGTAAAAAATATGGCAGTGTAAGGAGGAAGACATTCGAGTTCTTTATAAATTTCTATTATGTCTCATTAAATAAGTGCCACCAAAGCATTTGAAGATAGATTTTTCTTGTTGATGTAATTTATGTATAAATGGAGTTTTAAATTAGAGATACACGAAATACATATTGAAAAACTGTGGAAGGTAAAAAATATGTCTTCAGATTCACATTCGCTATACAAATTTTTTTAGAAGAAAATGAACGATCGAATATACGAAAGTTTCCAGGCTTCAAAACGAGTCGAGGTTTATCGTTTATAATAGCTTTTTAGGGAATTATAACAGTTTAAATATCGATAGTCTTTCGGTTATCGGAAATTTATTGTGCAAATACTTTAGAATAACTATACTTCTACTCAATCTCAATAATACTCAATAAGCATACTTATATGCTGAATATGATGCTATTTGATACAATAATTTTAGTTTCTGTGACCGACGAAAAGTAGAACTGAGGCGTACGCGTCGGCGCTGTAGAATTCTTGATTTATAGTGAACATATTCATACCTGGCACTTGAGACGTCGTTTAGTACAGTACTTGTCAAATTAGGAGAAACCGCTCGCTTAAGGGCGCTGGGATAATCTGAGGGGCGGTGGTAGCTCTGGGTATAATTGGAGTGTGTGATAAATATGATATTACTGCGTATGGGATTTTTTGAAAATTCGTATTTTCGAATTACTAGGCAGTTTTGTAGTCTTGTACAACTCGATTTTGAAGATCTTGTAATTTATTTCTGGATAGTTATTCAACTTTTTGAGTTATGAATATATTAATATTAACAATTGGAACGAGCTGAAAACAAACTTTCAAACAGGAAAGGAATAAAAATCGATTTCCGATAGAATAAATATCCAACCTTACATACTACGTATAGCATATGTATGTAGCGTATTTAATCTAAGTTGAAGCTAAATCGGTAAAATAAGTTAACTAGTGATACAAAAGTCAATATCGAGTCTCGGTACAGAACCAGAAATGGTTAAACAGTTATTTTTGGAACCGTTTCTAAGCCACTAATCGAAAATTATTGTTTGGCTTGGCCACGTGACACTTGATCGGTAAGAAAGATCGATTGATATCGAGCAGAGACAAGAAACGCGTAATCAGCACGTTTGATAGCAGATTTACTCAGTTTATGTAACGCGAGTCAGTTTCGAAAAATCAACGCAATACTTGTAGCCTGCGTAACAGATACCTTTGTCGCGATAACGTTATCGTGCCACCGACTGCACAATATTTCTACTCCTCGCGATGATTTATTCTTCTCATGAATGAAATTGAAATCCGTTTTCTTTTATTCTCGACTTTTAACAGCGCATTACTTTATGAACTCTATCGATTCGTTAGATACATTTTTACGTGGAAAGATTTGGTCTCATTTAGCACGTAAAGTGTCCACTGAGAACCTCAAATATTCACTTAAGACCAAACTAACCGAATTTATATGTCTCTTGGTGACTTAAATCTGAGCTGAAAATTTCATCGAAATCGGTTAACGACGTTTTGAGCTCTAAATAGTTAGAGATAGCGAAAATCGCAGAATTTCGCGATTTTCGACTAATAATTATAAGAAATCTGAAGATTTCTACATTTTTCTATGACTGTAAGTATAAAAGAAAAAATTTTGTGTACTAAGTACAGGAGAAAATTTTTTGGAAATACGAGCTAGTATAAGTTTTGGAAATACGTATTTATTTCATATAGCTTAACAAAAAAATAATTATGACATTTTAGAAAACAATCAATCTTTTCTTTTTAAATGTCATAAACTCATAATCTTCATCGTTTGAAATATTTGGAAGTGCCGCTTCATTTTCATTGTTAGTGCAAATTTTTTCGGATGATTTTTTCTCGATATTTTCTTTTACTAAGTTTTCAGAAATTTGCAGATATTCGCTGCAACATTTCATTAAATTTTGTTGAAATTTGAATGCACTTTGAATGTTTGGATGAATGTCTATGTATAATGGCACATTCCAACATTTTTGCTAATTCAAGAGCTTGACAAAGATTTTACTGGCTGTGTAAATACAGATCACGTAAATTGATATCGCGTATAAAAAATACCGCGGATATAGTAGATATAGTTATTATATCTATATATCTATAGTTATATTATATTATTTTTTTTATTTTTTTTATTATATTATTTTTTTTATTTTTTTTATTATATTATTATATCTATAGTTATTATATTATTATAGTAGATATAGTTATAATTTGCAGTATAAATTTAGTGTTATAATTTGAGGAACGGCTATGCTTACAATTAGGTACGTTGATTTCATAAATCATATATAAATATCATAGTGTCAAACTTTTCATAAATATTGCAAACTAAAAAATGTGACTCCTGCTTGCATTATGTACTGACCTTAGTCTCGAATCTCG